CCCCAAAACCCCCAAAACCCCAAAACCCCAAAACCCCTGTTGTTTTATAACTTATTGAAAACCTTAGAATTTGAATGCATGGGATTTGCCTTCCCAATTACGTACTTTCTGTTTGTTTAACTTCTTTCCTCTGATAATTGAATCCATCTCTTCAGCATCCAGGTAGTCAAACCAGTATAAGTTCTTGGAGAGTTCTCTAATCTCTTTTTCTCTGCTTTGAAGAAGTTTGACAACACGATCATACGACTCATCCAAAATTTTCTTGACTGCTTTATCAATCATTGAATTGTATTTCTCAGATGCATCATCTTTTGATGAGTCGATATATCCAACTTCATCGCCAAACATACCAAATTTTCTGACTGCTTGGTAAGCAATGTCTGTTGCTCCCTTGAGATCGCTACCGCAGCCACTGGTAATGCTTTTCTTTCCTAAGAAGATCCGTTCTGCAACATGGCCACCCATTGCGACATCTATATGAGCAAGAACATTCTCTTTGGTCATACCATGCATTTCATTCTCATCAGGGATCATAAAGGTAGCTCCGAGGGCACCTCCTCTTGCTACAATCGTGGCCTTATAGAGCTTCCTAGCTCCTGGGGTGAAGTATCATGCAATAGCATGGCCAGACTCATGGATGGCTGTGTTTAGTCGATCCTTCTCAGTCATTGAAAGTTTTTTTCTTTCGATTCCCATCATAATTCTATCTCTTGCATATTCAAAATCAGTTTTATCAGCTTCATCTTTATTGTTATGAACAGCTTCAGAGATGGCAGTATTTACTAGATTTTCAATTTCTGCTCCAGTAAACCCTGGAGTCATCTGAGCAAGATTCCTGGCAGTTATTTCTTTATTAACAGGAATTTTGTTCAAGAAGAACTTAAAAATATCAGTCCTCCCGTTTACATCGGGCTGAGGTACATGGATCTTTTTATCAAATCTTCCTGGCCTTACTGCAGCTGGATCAAGGATGTCTTCGTGGTTTGTAGCACCGATTACTAAGACATTATCGTTGACTTCAAATCCATCCATTTCAGCCAAAAGTTGGTTAATAGTTGCTCTACTTGAGGAGCCTTCAGTTCCAAATCTTCTACTTTTACTAAGTAAGGAGTCAATTTCATCAATAAATATGATGCAAGGGGTGTTCTTTTTGGCTTTCTCAAAGAGCTCTCTGACTCTCTTTGCTCCAACACCTACAAACATTTCGTCAAAGTCTGAACCAGTACAGAAAATAAAATTAGTAGCGGCTTCTCCAGCAATTGCTCTAGCTAAAAGAGTCTTTCCAGTTCCTGGTTGGCCAAACAATAGGATTCCTTTATGGAGCTTTGCTCCACATTCAATATATTTCTGTGGGTTTTTAACCATTTTGATAACATTTTCTACCTCCTCTTTAATCTCGTCGATTCCTTTGACATCATCAAGTCTTTGACTGATATTTTCTGCCTTTTTGATCTCAAAGTTGTACATATCAAGCAGAGATTTGGATGTCACATTCTTCACAATCATGGTCATTAGGAAAACCAGCATGAATAAGTAAGAACATCTCAACAAGAACTGCATTGTCTTCTTGAAGATGTACTTACCTACAGATTGTGGTCTGGACTTATCCTCGCTTTCAGAATTCAACTGAGAAGACATTACCATTCCTTTAATATGGTCTATGTGATCAACAGCGTATTCGTATTCAAGAAGAATCTTCTTGTCTTTCTCTTCGTATTCATACTTATGGTAGAGACGGATCACACTTTGATGCATACCAACTCTGTTTAGTTCTTTGAAGTATTTGTAAGCAGTTCTGAAGTTACTAGGATCCTTCTCATGATTCATCTGGAGGATCCGTAATAATTCTACTTTCTCTCTTGATAAATTTTGGGGCTTGTAAGTAGCAGATCAAAACGTCCTCAGCCCAATGTTTAGCAGAGATCTCATTTTTACTGAGTTCGATATACGGTGAGAGGAAAGTGCTGTAAAAAGAGCTCTGTTGTTGATCCTTGGGCTTGAGAACATAGTCAAACGCCTTCCAGCGCTTCGACATTTTGAAAGCATTTGTCTTGGTAGAAAAATTAATAATAAATCATTTAGAAAAAAATTATTGGGGTTTTGGGGTTTTGGGGTTTTGGGGTTTTGGGGTTTTGGGG